TGTTCATTGTGTGCTAAGCACTTTATGTATTTTATGGGAGATTGAACAAGTGGGGCAACTGAGGTCTGCTAAGCAGTAGCCATGATAAAAGGCCTTGACTGGGACCTCAGCATTCCTTGTTGGGGGAATTAATTAGCTATTGCTGCATGAGAAACTATCCTACAATTATTATCGTCTTAAAACAATAATAAATACCTGTCTCACATAGTTTCTGCGGGTCAGGGAATGAGAAACAGCTTAACTGGGTGGCTCTGGCTTGGTGCTTCTTGTGATATTACTCCAAGATATTGGCTGGGGATGCCGTCTTATCTGAAGTCATGACTGTAGTTGGAGAATCTGCTTTCAAGGTTGCTCTCTCGCATGACTGGCAAGTTAGAAAGCTGGCTATTGGCAGGAGACCTGTCTTTCACCTCCTTAGGACCTCTCCTCAGGGCTACTTGAGGTTCCTCACAACATGGTGACTGCCTCCTTCTGGAGTGATTGATCTAGAGAGCATAAGGTAGAAGCAGCAATGCCTTTTATGCCCTTGCCTCAAAAATCACATATCACCACTTCACAATATCCTATTTGTTAAAAGCGAGTCACTCAGTATGGCCCAAGTTCAAGCGGAGGGCAATCAGTTTCTCTTTTTTAAAGAAAGATGGGTCAAATAATTTGTAGCTGTATTTTAAAACCACACTCTTGAACCTCTGAAACCTCTTCTCCAGGGCTCAGAACACCATAGGGGCTCAGCAAGTACGGTTGCCTTAACCAGGTGGGTGCTAAGACCAACCACAGGGAGAAGAGCTCACCTGTCTGCCCCTCCTTCTAGGTCCATATTTCAGGCTTAATGTCTTCTGCCATAGATGGTTATTTTCAACTCACCCTGTTTCATTTTGCTGGCCCAAAGAATGCTCTGAGACTTGGGTGGGGATGAAGGATCTCCTGCCTCCATGGGGCCAGTCCCCTAAGGAATGCTTACTTCTTTCCTCTCCTTCAGCTGCACGTAGCTGGCGCCAACGGATTCCTGCGGGCAGCTGAGCTCCTCCTGGACCATGGAGTGCGTGTGGATGTGAAGGACTGGGATGGCTGGGAGCCCCTGCATGCAGCTGCCTTCTGGGGACAGGTAGTTCCTACCCACAGGGCTGTGGGGGAGGCCAGCACAGGGTTATCCTGTGGTTGCGAAGTCCTCTGGGCTGGCAATAGGTTCAGAAGGCTCATTGAAGGTGTTGACTACTGCTAGTATGTGGGTTATGTAAAGGCCTAAGGAGTTTGCAAAAACGTTTGGCAGGTTGTGCCCCCATGGAATGGTAATCACATTTACCAAATTAGAAAATTCCCAGCATTTGTGCTTTGAGTAGTCTCTCCCTTTGTTTCCAGATATAAAACTCTGCCTGCAGCTTATGCAGTCTCTCCTGATATCTGTCAGCTCTGGAGTTTTAGCTGACTTCTCCTGTGTCTTGTTATGGCCCAGGCATACTGGAGGAGGTGCTAAGCCCAGTGCATTTGCCCAGATTCCCCCATGACTCCAGGGTGCAGGTCTTCTCTGGGAATCAGCTTTGCCCCACCATTCCTTGAGCCACATCCTAAGAGGCCTTGGGCACTCTCTCCACTTTTTAGGTTTTTTAAGCCCTGGGCAGGTGGAACATGGGTTTATTCCTGTGTTTCAGATGCAGATGGCAGAGTTATTGGTGTCCCATGGAGCTAGTCTCAGTGCAAGGACATCCATGGATGAGATGCCAATAGGTGAGTCCAATACAACATATCAGCAGTCATCAATTTTTGATGAGTGGAGAGATAAATGGATAGATATATGGTTGGATAAATTGATGAATTGAGGCATAGATAGATGGATGAATGAATAAATTAGTGGATGGTAGATTAATGGACAGATGGAGGGATGGATGTATGGATGGATGGACGAGTGGGGTAGATGGGTAGATGTACAGTTGAATAGATGAGTGGATGGATAGATGAATAAATAGATGGATGGGTAAAGGACAAATCTATGGATGGATGACTCAATCACAAATAGGTAGATAAATGGATGAAGATGGATAGAGTGGGTGGGTTATATGGATATCTCAGCATCTTCACAAAATTTCTTGCTTGGGCTGCGTGGGGCACCTGCTTTTTTCTTTTAATACTTCTCATGTCAGTGAAAACTTGATGACTCTTCTTGGAATCTGTCAAAGAGGAGTGTGAACCTCTTGGTTGTAGCTGGGAACCTTAGGAGTTGTACATGGAACTTGGATTTCCCATTCCCACAGTCCTCTAAGTATTGGGTCATAGTCCAGGAACTAAGGCTGGCATTGTTCTCTTCCCTCCCTGCGTGCCCAGAAGATGCCTATAGTTTTCAGTAGGTTGGGGCGGCAGTTCCTCTGGTCTGGAGCACCTTCCTGGGCCACAGGCCCCTCCCCTGTCCCGCACAACTGACCCCTTTGTCCCTTCAGACCTATGTGAGGAGGAAGAGTTTAAGGTCCTGTTGCTGGAGCTAAAACACAAGCACGATGTGATCATGAAGTCACAGCTGAGGCACAAGTCATCTCTGAGCCGGAGGACGTCCAGCGCTGGCAGCCGTGGGTAAGTCAGGGGCAGCACAATCAGGGGTCCCAATGCATACTTCTGCCTGTGGTGCCTGGGCACAGACTTCAGCACTGCCTCTGTCCCCCTAGGAAGGTGGTACGTCGAGCCAGCCTATCGGACAGGACCAACCTGTACAGGAAGGAGTATGAGGGAGAGGCCATCCTGTGGCAGCAGCGGAGTGCAGCTGAGGATCAGAGGACCTCGACCTACAATGGGGACATCAGGGAGACCAGGACAGACCAAGAGAACAAGGACCCTGTGAGTGGCCTCATGCCCCGCCCCAGTGTCAGCCACTGCCTTGGGAGGAGGGCAGGGCCCCAGCCCAGTCTTGCATCTTTATCTGAGGGCCTTCTGAAGGAAGTAGCTGGGCAATGCCCTTAAAACAGCAGATCCAGTCTAATGGTGGTGGCTCCTTTAGTTAATGAGGTGACCCTGGGTTTGTTAGAGGCTAAGCTGGGAGCTTCGGCACACAGGAAGGTCTCCTAATTGGTAGGGAGCAAGTAACTGCTGTGACCCTGCCTGATCTAGCTGATGGACTTCCCAGAAGAGAGGTTCAATAGGGCAGTGCCTACCTGACCTAGCTGTGGGCTTCCCAGAAGAGAGGTTCAGTAGGGCAGTTACCCAGGAGCTGAGGGCAATAAAACTTTTTTGGAGAAGAAATAGAACAAGATGTTGATAATTGTGCTTATCAAAACACCTGTGACTAGAAGAAAATTTTTGAAAACTGGATATAGTCTCAGAAAGACCTCTGGGAAACTTGCCCTAGTAGCAGCCGGTGGGCCTGCACTTTGAACTGCCTTCCTAAGAGTAGTATGTGTGTTTGTTTTCTGTGGTTGCTGTTATAAATTTTCATAATCTAGGTGGCTTAAAACAGCAGAAATTTATTATTTCACAGTTCTGGAGACCAGAAATCTAAAATCAAGGTATCAACAGAGTTGATTTCCTCTGGAGGCTTTGATTTTTTTTTTAGAAATGAAGTCTTGCTATGGGCTCAAGCAGTCTTCCTGCCTCAGCCTCCCAAAGTTCTGGGATCACAGGTGTGAGCCACTGTACCTGGCTCTGAAGGGAAATCTAGTCCATGCCTCCCTTCTAGCTTTTGGTGGCTCAGGCGATCCTTGGCTTTTGATGAAATGACACTAGTCTCCGCCTCCATCTGCACAAGGCTTTCTTCTTTATGTGTCTATATCTCTGTTTTCTCTTCTTCTTTGGATTGGCCCATGCCAATCCAGTATGCCGTCTTAATTTAGCTTATCATTACTGCAGATACCTATCTCCAAATAAAGTCACTTTCAGAGATTCCAGGTGGGCATGGATTTTTGAGGGATGCCTTTCAGCCCAGAACCAACTCTCTCGGCATGATTGCTTTCTTGCTGAGTGGGGTGAACAAGTTTAGGGCCAGAGTGGAATTGCAGAAGACAAGATGGGAGGAGCTAACTGCATCAGGAGTGGTCTGCTGTTTGGGTTTTCCTCCCACCCCGTGAATGATGAAAAAACTTCTAGAGAGTGTAGCTTCGGTGGGATGTAATTGATTAGCTGCTGATGTGTCTCAGTGGGACCTGCTTCACAGTGTGAACAGTGAGGTCACCCACCAGCTGTCTCATCAACAGAAGGGAATCCCCATCAAAGCTGCCAGCTAGGGATGGAGAGAGCACACAGGGAAGCTTTGTTCTGCCTGGTTGATGGTTGGGCAGGGGAAAGACTTGTAGATCAAAATCACAACCTGATTCAGATGCCTTCCAGCTATGCTTCTTGTGCTTTTTCTTTGTGATTGAGGCTTAATTGCAGTAGACACATCTTAAATGTTTTCAATGAATTTTTACAAATGTATACACTCAAATACATAGAGCACTTTCATCACCCATGTCCCCTCTCAGTCAGCTCCTCCCCATCTCAGCCAAAGGTAGCTGCTATTTAACTTTGAGCACTGAAGGTTAGCTTTATATATGCATATGCCATATGCATGGACCCATGCAGTTCATCATTTTTTGTATCTGGTTTCTTTTATGTCTGTGAGAGTCATCCATGTTATGGCATCTAGCAGTAGTTCATCCTTTTTCATTGCTCTATAGAGTTTTATTGTTTGAATGTTACAATTAACATATCAGGCCAGGCTCAGTGGCTCAGCCTGTAATCCCAGCACTTTGGGAGGCTGAGGCGAGAGGATTGCCTGAGCTCAGGGGTTCGAGACTAGCCTGGGCAACTTGGTGAGACCTCGTCTCTACAATAAATCAAAAAATAAGCCAGGTGTGAAAAAAAAATTTGCATATCAATTCTCTTATTGGTGGACATTTGGGTTGTGTCTAGTTTGTAGCTACTATGAATAAAGCTGCTATAAACATTTTGCACCAGCCCATCAAGTGTGGTGTCACCCACCTGTGGTCCTAGCACTTTGGGAGGCTGAGGTGAGATAATCACTTGAGCCTGGGAGTTTGTGACCAGCCTGGGCAACATAGCGAGATCCCATCTCTGTAAAAAACAAAAACATTAAAAAAAAATTTTTTGTATTGTTTTGTACCTTTAGTGGACATAGGCATCATGTTGTATTGGGTGTACATGGAGTAGGCATATGTTTAGCTTTAGGAGATACTACCAAACACTTTTCCATCAGCAGTTGTAGGAGTGCTTCTTACCAACCTTTGGAATAGTCAGTCCTTTTAACTGGAGCCATCCAGGGTGGCTCCTGTAGTTAATGAGGTGAACCTGGGGAGTGTTAGAGGCCAAGCTTGGAGCTTCAGCACACAGAAGGGCCTCCTAATTGGCAGGGAGCAAGGGTGGGGAGGTCGCTGTTGTGTTTTGAAATTTGTATTTCCCTGATGATAGATGATGTTGAACATATATATTTTCATAGGTTTATTGGCCATTTGGTGATCCTTTTGGGTGTGGCATCTGTTCTTTTGGCCTTTTTGTTGGGTTGTTTTTATTTTCCTTGTTGATTTGTAAGAGGGACTGAGATTCCTTAAAGAAATCTTCAAGGAAGGAGTCCCTCCTCCACTCTTGCTGTGTTCCTGTGTTTGTTCAAATCTCACAGGTCCCAGGACTCCCCCAGAAGTGCTCATTGATGTGGAGTCTTAGAAATCGTTAAGCCTATAGGAAACAGGGCAGGGGCAAATGGCAGTTGGGGACCACCCTGAGTTAGGCCTGATCTTGTTGTTGTTCATTTCCAAGGCTTCCTTATGAAGGATGCAGTTTGTTTGGGGTTAGGTAAGGCAAAAGGATGGGCTATTTTGCCTCTAAGGCTGGGTTTTTCAGGGCGAGGGAAGAGACAAGAAGGAACTGAGATGGCATAACCTTCTGGCTGGGGCAGGCAGGCCTCACCTTGGTTACCCTGCAGTCCTACCCCAGAGCAACTCTCAGGACCTAGGACTCCGGATCCCAGGCCCTGCCCCCAGGAAACAAGGCCATCACAGAGCCTTGCTACAAAGCTCCACCCCAACTCTTCTTTCATCCTTTTAAGGTTTTAGGTCCTGGGAAGGTGTTTTCTAAAGTAGGAATTCTCAAAGTGTGGTCTCTGGACCAGCAGCATCAGCATTACCTGGCAACTTTTTAAAAATGCAGATTCTCAGGCCCCACTCCGATGTGGTGATTCTAACGCACATACACATTTCAGAACCACTTATCTAACGGAGTATTTGTTCAACCTGACCCCCAAGGCAGGCTCTTCCCTGTTAACCCTCAGGGATGACTTTAGTTCATGCTTTGGCAGAACTGACTCCCTGGTACCAGGCACAGCAGTGATGGTAGCCCTAGTCTCTTCAACTGGTGGTTCACAAACTCAGCTATCAATATAATCACCTGGGGAGATGTTATTGCTGTTGTTTAATCCTGATGTCTAAGTAACCGTCCTGAATGATTAAATCAGAATCTCAGGAGTTGGGACCTAGGCATTGTGTGTGTATGTTTAGCTAAAAAGACACTTTTGGAAATTGTTGTAGAATACTTCGATTACCAAACTGGCAAGGATCTCAGAGGTCAGGGAGAAAGGAGTTTGTTTTCAGGGTGGAGGACAGAGGCTGGAAGGACTGAAGGTGAGGGATGGAATAAGCAGGTCATATGTCCCCAGGCAGCCTGTTTCCAGAAGCATTTTCAGGAGAGCTACTCTGCTTTATGGTACTTGTTTTACTCTCAGAGGTGAGTTAAAGTTCAGGACCCTGTAGAGAGGAGAGCAACTTAAGACTGTCATTTAACAAGCATTTCATTTCAGCTGGTAAGTGCGAGAAACAGTTCAGCTATCACTGAAGAGAAGTAGAATGAGAATTCGGGGGACTGTGTCTGAGTTGTCCTAGGAAAAGGAGGGGTCATCCGAGTATTCTAGAAATCACATGGGAAAGGATGATTCTGTACAGTGAACCCTTCCCCAGAATACAAAGGGTATGGGGCTTTCTCTAGTCTTCCTGTTTTCTAGTATCTCATGGTTCACATAAAGTTCAGCTTTGTGGAGATGATTGTGTGTACTACGGAGGTGTTCTAGGATCTATCGTGTTCTTATCTGTACAGTGCTCAGCCCATAATTTATGCCTTGTTACGTACTAGGCATACAAACGCTCTTAGATGTCACTGGTATCCTCTCTTCCCTCTAACCTGCATTCTTCATGCTGTGACTGTTCTCTCTACCTTCAGAGCTCTCATTTCTGACACTGAAGATGGATATATGTGGTTTGTTTTAACTGGTCAACTATTTCTTCAAGCAGCTTTAGATTTAAAGAAAAATAAGTGGAAAGTACAGATAATTTTCATATACCCTCATTATGCCCCCCATTTCTAACATTTTCCTTTAGTGTAGCATACATGTTATCACTGATGAGTCAATATTGATACATTATTATGAACTAAAAGCCCATGGTTTACATCTTGTGTTGTACATTCTGTGGGTTTTGACAAGTGCATGATGTCACATACCTATCAGTATAGGACCATAGAGAATGCTTTCACTGCCTAAATATCCCTGGTACTTTACTCATGTTTTTTCCCCAAGCCCTGGCAAATACTGATCTTTTACTATCTCCCTAGTCTTGGCCTTTTCCAGAATGTCATATAGTTAGAATCATATAATATGTGATCTTTCTTTTTAGGCTAGGCTGGGTGGCTCAGCCTATAATCCCAGCACTTTGGGAGACTGAAGCTAGTTGATTGTCTGAGCCTGTGGGTTCGAGACTAGCCTGGGCAACTTGACGAGATCTTGTCTCTACAATAAAATAAAAAATAACCAGACATGGTAGCCGCATCTGTAGTTCTGGCTACTCGGAAGGCTAAGGCGTAAGGATCGCCAGAGCCCAGCAGGTCAATGCTGGGGTGGCTGTGAGCATGCCACTGCACTCCAGCCTGGGCAAAGGAGTGAGACTCCAACTCAAAAAATAACCAAAAACAAACAAACAAACAAAACAAAACATATATGGTCTTTTGGGATTGGTGTTGAATAAATGTTTGTATTTTTAACTTCCTAGATGATTCCAATGTGTATCCAACCCGTATCTCAGATCCTTGCCATTCAAAGCATCAGCAGGAATTTGTTAGAAATGCTGAATTTCAGGCTCCGACACAGACCTACTGAATCAAAATATGCATTTTAACATATCTGGAATATTTAACATATTCCAGGTGACTCATATGTACATTAAAGTTTGAGAAGCACTGACTTAGACCATCAAGAATCTGTCCCCTGATGAAGTGGCATCAGTCTGCCTGCATAGTGCAAAAGGAACCATTAAAAGGAAAAAGAGTCCAGGCATGGTGGCTCATGCTTATAATCCCAGCACTTTGAGAGGCCGAGGTGAAAGAACTGCCTTAGCCCATGGGTTCGAGATCAGCCTGGGCAATTTGGTGAGACCTCATCTCTACAATAAATCAAAAAATTAGTCAGGCATGATGGCCTGTGCTTGTAGTTTCAGCTACTTGGAAGGCTGAGGTGGAAGGATCACCTGAGCCCAGCAGGTTGAGGCTGCGGTGACTGTGAGCTTGCCATTGCACTCCAGCCTGGGTAACAGAGTGAGACTCCAACTCAAAATATAAATAAATAAAATAAATAAAAGAAAAAGAAAAGAAAGAAACACACACACACACATATATAGAAACTTACTACTAGGGAAAGTGTTCTTTACCTTATCATATTTTAACCTAAGGTATATTTCTTGAAGATCTTTCCGTGTCAGACTGTAGAGACTGCCTTCATTCTTCCCATCAGCTGCAGTGAACTGCAAAGAAGTACTGGCCACAATTTCCCACTTGCCTAATGATGACTTTCAGGCTTTGCATCTATGAGGGGAGATATCTGTGAAACAAAGTCCGAGAGATGGGCTAGCTGGTGCAAAGTATACACGCTTCTAAACATTTTTTTTTCCTTTTTGGATGATGCAAAATTGTCCTCCAAAGAGGTTGCAGCTATTTATATTCTCTCTTACATCCCATACCCTTGCCAACACCAAGTAAAAACAAGCTTTAAAAATATTTGTCAATGTGAGAGGTAAACATGATATTTTATTGTTTTAATTTTTATGTAATTAATTATTAATAAGGTTGAACTTTTTCGGATGTTTATATACCTATATGTTTTGCTGTGGGCTGCCTATTAATGTCCTTTGTCTACTTTTGTCATCGGGTAGTTAGGCTTTTAAAAATGGACTTTTGGCCAGGCACAGTTACTCACGCCTATAATCCCAGCACTTTGGAAAGCCAAGGTGGAAAGATTGCTTGAACCTGAGAGTTTGAGACCTGTCTAGGCAACATAGCAAGACCTTGTCTCTACAAAAAATAAAAAAATTAGCCAGGTGTGGTAGCACGCGCCTGTGGTCTCAGCTACTCGGGAGGCTGAGGTAGGAGGATCGTCTGAGCCCAGGAGCTCAAGGTGCAGTGAGCCATGATTGTGCCTGGGTGACACAGTGAGACCTCGAAGCCAAAAAATAAAAAAGACTTTTAAGAACCCTTTATATATTTAGAAAATTAGTCCCTTTTCTGTCATATGTATTGCAAATATTTTTCCAGTTTTTTCATGTGTCATACTTTGACTTTTGATTTGCTTATGTTGATTTTTGCTATGTTTTATGTTTTTGTTTTTGTCAAAGTGTCTACTTTTTAGTTTATAGTTTCTAGACAGCAGCTATTTTTCAAGCTCTTGTTATCCAAAGATTTTTGGGTATATAGGATCCCTGGGTGAGACTCTGTCCTTTGAAGTAGAGATATGCTGGAAATACAGAGAAAGAATTACAAGTGACAGAAAAACTCAATTAAAATTGACTTAAACAAAAAAGGAATTTATTGACTCATGTAACTGAAAATTCTGGACACAGCTAGAGCCAGGAACTCAACATGCCTCAACAGGATGCAGCCTCTCTCTCTCTCTTTCTCTCTCTCTATTTTTTTAGTCTTTCTCAATGTCACTTCACTCACATGCAGATCCTTTGACTTGCTGTCTCCCCAACCCCCAGCTTACCTCATTTTTACTACCCATGGTTCCTATAGGAACTTCTCTTTTCCAGTTATTCTAGCAAAAGTGTCAGGGTTGAGTTTCACTGGACCAATTGCAGTTAAGATTCCATCCCTAGACCAATCCTTGTAGTGAAGTATGTTGACTGGCCAGGTTTGGGGTTATGGCCCAAGCCCTGGAGCAAGGCCAGGGTCAATCAGCTCCAACAAACAAAGGGCAATATAGGAAAATAAATGGAGGACAGGTTCAAAGAGTAATGCCCTCAGCAGAGGCACAGAGGGGTGATAGGTTCAGATCTTCTAGCCAGCTAGTAATGTTGTCCTTCTCACTCACAGAACCCCAGGCTGGAGAAGCCCGTGCTACTCTCTGAATTTCCTACCAAGATCCCACGAGGTGAACTGGACATGCCTGTCGAGAATGGCCTCCGGGCTCCGGTCAGCGCCTACCAGTATGCACTGGCCAACGGGGATGTCTGGAAGGTGCATGAGGTGCCCGACTACAGCATGGCCTATGGCAGCTCTGGCATGGCCGACGCCACCCCGCCCTGGAGTGGCTACAAGGAGCAGAGTCCCCAGACGCTGCTGGAGCTGAAGCGGCAGCGGGCTGCAGCCAAGCTGCTCAGCCACCCCTTTCTGAGCACCCACCTGGGCAGCAGCATGACCAGGACGGGCGAGAGTAGCAGTGAAGGCAAGGCCCCCTTGATTGGAGGCAGAACTTCGCCATACAGCAGCAATGGGACCTCAGTGTACTACACGGTCACCAGCGGCGATCCCCCACTCTTAAAGTTCAAGGCCCCCATAGAGGAGATGGAGGAGAAGGTGCATGGCTGCTGCCGCATCTCCTAGTCTCTTTGCAGTGGGAGAGAGAGATGCCTCGGGAGGGGTCCCTGGAATCCAGGCCAGCCCGAAAGCCCTGGCTGGGGAGGTGTCAGAGGGCAACCGGGAAGAGGTGGGCTCTGCTTTCTAGAGGAACTCAGACTCCATCTCCACCCTGCGGCCCATAGCATTCCACATCCCATGGTTCTGCTTCCTGCTGCATCATCTGCCATCTGACACAAGGCCCGTCATGGCCTCCTGACTCACTCTGCTGTCCAATCTTGGGAGGGTGGGCTTGGGATCCCACTTGTGTTCTTGGTAAAGGCTTCTCTGGACCAGTACGTGCATGTCACCTATCAACACACACACACAAACGCACACACGCACACGCTTAATCAGGGTGTGCAGGAATGACATACCTGGGCTCATGGGAAGCAGATAGAGCTGAGAATTTGTGGGGTGTTCTCAAAAGGATGGAGGTTAAGACTCAGAGTCTCGTCACCACCGCCTATGTGGCTTTAGCTAAACTAAGACCCGTCATCTTGCTTGGAGTCATATCAGAGCTGGGCCACCAACCACAGCTGGCAGGGATAGGAAGTCCTTGCTGAGTTCAGAGGGAGCCAGGAGTCCACATGCATTAGATGAGGTGGACTCAGGCCTGCTTCCTGCAGCCTTGCTGTCAGTCACTCTGCTGCCCACTCCAGGTGCCAGTGCTGTGACCACCCAGGGCTCGAAGGGGAAAGCCAGGCTGTTCTGCTCATGGAATAAAACAAATGTTTTGCTCTTGGATGGAGACATTAAAGGATGGCAGGCAGGGGATGGGGGAAAGATCAGTGCTTACCGAACTACATTTGATTTAAAAATTATTTTAGGCAGTCTGGCCTCTGCACAAGGATGACATGCAAACTTGTGAATCATTCCATATTTTTAAATAAACTCCTTGTGCTCAGAAAAATAAAATTAAAAATTATTTTAGGCTGTCAAACTCCAAGAGGGCAGGAAGTAACTGAATTCACCTTTTTTTTTTTTTTCATGGATAGTATCATGATCAATAGGTTTTACTGGCTGGTGTTGGAAAACTAAAGCTAAGTGAGGAACTTCTGTTGGAAGGCTTTTCCAGGGAGAGGCGCGAGTTAATTTCTGAAAACATCTCTGGATAACAATGACAGAGCCCAGCACCCTGGGATCTTTGTGAATATCCAGACTGTTTCAGTCCAGCTCATATCAGCCAGTCCTCCTTAGACTGAGCAGTCAGAATGAGCGGTTAGGGGCTACTGGGGCCTCCCACCATCCACTCATGTCAGTCATGTGCAGAGTCAGTGCTCAGGACCCCCAGCCCAGCTCTACCTTTTCTGGGATGCTCAGTGAAGCAAGTTTTCCAGTTGGCCCTTGTGTGTTCCTGCCTGACCCAGGGGCTGCCAGCCTGTTCCTGCTGCAGTGGAGATGCCCCAAGGCTGCAGATCCAAGATGCCTGTGGTCAGCATTCCATATGGTATTCAGGAGGGCAGTGGTGGCGCCATAGTTGGGTCTCATCAAATCTACAGTTTCATAGCAACAGCCTTCCTGATGCTGGGGACGGTGGGCTGTTGAGGGGTAGGCTGCCCTCCACCTCACTACTGCACTCTCCCTCTTGCAATTGTTGCCATGAGATGGGCACTGCCCACAGGCCCAGCCAGAACCTTTTGGGGTAACTAACAAACTGCAGGTTTTGTTCCCTGCTCTGTGCGCCTTTTATTTGTCCTCAAACTACCTCCTTAGAGCTCTGAAGGCACCCCCAAGACCAGATTCTAATTTGGGGAACAGATCCGGGTTCCCTTTAGCCTGCTTCTTTCTGAATCTATAAGAAATTCTTCCTGAGGGGCACCGGGGCTAGGGGGCTGGGGCTGGAAAAGCTTCCCTTGTACCCCAACCCTAGTAATGGGGTTTTCTGTTTGTCAATTTTAGCCCCCCAATGTGGTCCCCATGGCTCCTGGAACCCAAAGAGGGAGCTGGACCTCAAGGTGCCTGGTTGATACTTTCCCAGGAGCTGGGCAGCAGCTGGGCTTGAGATCATAGGGTGTGTGGGAGTGACTGCGCCCCTGGTGGCTGCTGGGTGCAAAGAGGGTCACCCTTACTCCAATGCCTGGGGTCTGGGGCGGGGGGCGGGGAGGGGGTCGCTCTTCAGCATCTAAGCCTATGGCTGGAGCAGGACAGGATGATCCAAAACACACATACCTTTGTCTTTAACATGGTATCAGCCCAGGCAGACACTGAACTCCCTCATGAGCTTTTGCCACAAGGTAAAGAGGGCCAAGGGAAGCCCCATGCGCCTCTGGAGAGCTGTGCAGGGTTTTCCGGTCTTTTTGCTCAGGAGCCAAACACTGAAGGCATTTATTGCCAACCCTGAGCCCTGAGATCATTCCCTCCCTTGCCTTCTGCCTTCTGGACCACTCCTCTCTACCCAGAAGGCTGAGAAGTCCAGCTGATTCCCCAACAGGAACAGACTTCAGACAGAAGTGACTCTTAGGCATTAGCTCATGTTTTCAGTCAGGGATAAAACACTCCCTGTTGGGGCTTTCAGTCCCTGGGGAATATTCCCTGTGGGTCTCCTGGGTGTTGAGGGACAAATTGGGGACCAACCTCCAATGAATGAGCTGGAGTCATTCATTTACTCACTCATGTAATTTATTGAGTGACTGCAACATGCCACACACTACGTTAGTTTCTGCAGATAAGGGAGGAACAAGAGTGAAAACTGTTCTTTTCGGTTTTCATCCCTTGGGGACCATGGGCATCAGCAGCCCCGTTCAAGTCACCTGAGGCAAAGTGCCTGCATCCTGGACCTGAGACTCTTGCTTTTCAGTTCCTCGAATCTGTACAGTCTGAATCCCTTTGGCTGGGAACAGCTGTCATGCCCCCCCCACCAGATACATTTGCCACTATGTGCAGATGCTGGATCTTGGAGTCCAGGTAGATGCTGTCCCAGGTCCATCTGGAATTTTGAGGGATAGCTGCCTTCAGGCCAGCATCTTTGGGGGACTGTATAATAGCAGTTTGAGGTCAGTGTCTAAAAGAATGATTCTGCAGTTTGCTGCCAAATGCATCTCAGGTTTTTAAAGTCATTGTGTCTTGCTCATTTTTGCTCATGTATTACATGGTTTCCCCCCTCCCCTTACCCGCCAGTGTATAATAGGAGGAAAAGGAGTGTCTCTTTTTAACATTGAAGGGGCCTAGCTCCTACTGAGACCCAGGTCTTGTGGCAGCTCCTGGTGATGAAAGGAAGCCACATGCAAAGCAGGTGCCCCACAACTCACTGTCACCTCTAGCCCTTGCTCCCACCATATATCCCAGACAATGGAAGATTGGTGGCTGTTACCAGATTATGAGTTTCTGACCAGTAGCTCAGGGAAGCTGAATGAACCCTAGGTCCAAGGATACTGAAGACTTCAGGATACAATTCTCCATCAAATATGCAGCATAAATAAACCTGCACTGTTTGATCAATTTCAAGTGAACAAGGATGTGTTAACAAGGGAGTGTCCCCTGTCCTGCCCCACCACAGTTTGCTGCCTTTGTAATAACATGAGGCCATCTTGGTTTTTGGTGTCAGATACCTTTCTATCCTGAGCTTTCTCTCCCACCTGTTCTATTTCCCAGAGCAGGATACCGGGGTACTTTCTAGAAGGGTGCTCCTTACAAGATGCCCAGAAGGACTGTATTTAACTCTTGCTATTTGTAGCCTGGGGATAGTCTTCCCTCCCCCAGGGCACATAAGAGCAGAGGGTCAGTGGTTAGTGGATGACTCCCCAAAAGACCCGCCCCCTTTGCTAGAAGCTACAGACCTCTCCTTGACAGCAGTCTCTTGTTGGTTAGAGGGCCTGCTTCCCGTGGGCATTGCAAGTGCCATTGTGTGGGGCCTGGCTCTGCGCATCCAGGAAGTCTGCAGACCCCAGCCCTCCGCAATAATTCACCAGACCAGAAGCCACTGATGTACAGAGAACACTTAAGAAAAATGTATTTTATGTGAAAAACAGTTAAAACTCTGTATACTGTATCAGCAGCTTTGTGTAAAAATGGCAATCAAGAGAGTCTAATATATTTAAAACTTTTTTTAAAACAAATCCTTGTGGATCTTTGATATTGTATTGAAGTTAACTTCCAGGTAGCTCCTTGCCATGGGGCAGTGGTGGGCCTCGTGTTCAAGACTGTGGCTCAACCACATCCCCAAAAGGGCATCTGTCCCTGGAGTTGCTTCCAGCTGCCAAGGCCTGTGACGGAATTCGCTGTTAAGAGTTTTTAATTAAGATTATTAAATTCCTTTTAATAACACCTGCTAGTGTGACTGGTTTTTGCTGTGAGCTCACTTGGGTGGTGCTGACTTGAATTCACAAAGAGGTGGTGTCTGGAATAGAGGGTGGGTGAGGGCTCCTGGCCCCTGCTCCGCATTCCCCCACAGAAGGCTCTTCCAGGAGGCCCCTGAAGTAGAGAGAGCTCTGGGGGCTCAGACATGGAGCAGATATCTTTCTAGATTGGGAGATGGTGAAAACTGATGAATTCAAGAAAAGGTGGATAGTTGGGAATTACCTTCATTCTGTCAAATATTCCCTTTGAAATTATGAGGCCTTGTGACAGCATATATGCAGCCCCAACATTTTCAGTGTTTTTCCTGATGACATTGATATATAAGAAGGGTGCCCTCTCCTCTGTTCTGTCCTTGGAGTGCACTGACATGTCCTGTCTCCTTCCCCCTTGTCCTACTCCAGTCTTTCCTCTCATGTAGCTTATAGTGGGGAGGTACAATTCTGCATAGTCCTTCACCTTATAACAACAATATAGCAGGTAAGGCCCTGGCCATTCACATTTTTTGCCTCAGGTAAAAAGTGACATACATACCTCAGGTAATAGAGACATACATGATCCATGCGGTTGTGCAGCCTCAGACCACCATGGTTCTTGTCACATGCAGAAGTATGTTGGTGTCTTAAAAGAAACTGGAAAGGGTGCTCTCTTGTAGCCTTCTGGACACTGAATGTCAGAGCAGGGACACACAGAAGACCTCACACTTTGACTTGAGGAACTTCACAAACAGGCTGGGGATGGGAAGAGGATAGGGAGAGAGGAAGAGGTATCCTAATAGTGGTGGGCATTCATTTAAAAAGTTTACTGGCTGCTGAATAATAATGGTAACCTTCCACATTTATGCAGCACTTCATAGTTGCACATGGGCTTTCTTATTTACAGAAAGAAGATGGGGTTTGAAAATTGACTGTTGGATTTAGCACTGTGGAACTCACCAGGACCCTGACAAAAGGATTGGTAGAGCAGTGGGGGCATTAGCCTGATCAGAGAGGGCTCAGGACAACTGGAGGGAAATAAGACAGCAAGGATAAGCAAATCGTTTGAGGTTTTATGTTGCAAAAGTAAGCAGAGAAGTGGGGAGGTAGCTCTAGATGAATGTAGGGTCGAGAAGGCTGTTTTAAGATGAAAAATATGTCAGCATGTTTGTAGCTGGTAGAAGTGAATCCATAGGAAGGAATTGACCCAGAAGAGAAGAGAGAAATCCTGGAGAGATGTGGGTCAGTAGCAGAAGAGCTATAAGACCGTACTCAGGTGGAAGGGTTGGATGGGCTCAGGTGCAGTTCATCCCTGGAAAAGGCCCAGCATGTAGGCAGAGATGCAGACAGAAAGCTAGACATGGTTGGAGCGTGTGGACATTCTCTTCTGACTGCTTTTATTTTCGAGGGACATAGGAAGCAAGCTCTCAGAGCAATGGGGGAGGAAAAGCAGAGTGAATGAGGGAAATGCAGGCTAGCAGGTAGTCTTGAGGGCTGACTTCAGATCATGAATTGGAAGCATGATCAGTCAACAACCATGGTTGGTTTTGTTGTTTTCTCTGGCCCAGTATGGCTGCCCAGGCGCAGGTAGAAAGTAGGGATTAGCCAGGGCTGGTTGGGTTTTACCAGGCCAAAAAGCAAGAGCAGAGAATGTTATCTAAGGCCGCTACCAAAGCATGGCTATCATGATGGACCGGTATATTTTGAGAAATGAATGAGTGAATGGTTAAATGCAGGGAATAAAGGCGACGACACCGAAGCTTAGGTTGGCCACCCCAAAAGAAAGTTCTGAGAGCCCAGGAGCCGCGCAATCAGTGTGTTTGGGAGCAGTCGCCAGCCTCTTCTCTGCCTAGGCCAGACACCGGGTAGGGCCACACAACACAGCGGCCGGCAGAGGGCGCCCTGGGATGGCCGGGCCCCGCCGTCCACGCCGCCGACCCAGTTTAAATTCCGTTCCGCAACGCCTACAGCGACCGTAGGTCGTGCCGGCAGCCAATACAGAGGCGCAGAGCCCCGCCGGGCCGCGGGGCAGCCAATCACACATCAGGGGGGCGGCGGCGGCGTGAGCTCCGCCTCGCCCCGGTTGGGCGAAGGCAGCCAATGGAAGAGCAGGGGCGGGGCAGCGCGGCCAATGGCGCGGGCCGGTTGGATTCAAAGGCGCGTATAAGGCGGGTGCGCACACCGACTCTCGCTGGCGCCTGTCGCTCCCGAGCGCTGCCATGGCTCTGCGGTCCGGTGGC